ATAAAATAAAATTGATTTTATTTGGAATAAAGATGCAATAGTAGTTTTTTCAAATGAAATCAAAAAGAACTTTTGAACAATTCCATGAGTGACATTGAGAAAACACCAGAAACACATGAGAACCAAACAATAAGAATCTCAACCCCACCATTGGAAAATGAAGAAAAGAGAACGGATGAAGTTGTGAAAAAACTTTGTTCAAAAGAAATGAGTTCAGATAAGAAGAGAACAAGAAGTTCCAGTAACAACGAAGTAGAAGAGAATGGCGAAAAAGAAGAAACAGACCAGGAAGGAAAAGACAAAGAAAAGAAGGTCAGTAGGGAGAGATTACTTTCGTTCATGTTCAAACGAAAAACAAACGAAAAAACAACTATATCTGAATCACCAAAAAAAAGTCATAAAGAAAAGAAAAAAGAAGGAGAAGAGGAAGAAGGAAAGCTAAAAAGAAAAGAGTTAAAGAAAAGTAAGAAACAACAACTGTTGAAACAAAGTAAATCTGAGATTATAACAAAGAAAAGTGAAGAAATAGATTCACAAGAATTAATTATTGAGCACCAGGGAGATGCTATTATTGACAATAATACCAGTCAAAAAGAAAATGAAGAAAAAAGTAAAAGAAAAGAAGGGATTAAAGAAAGACCGAAATCATTGAAAGAAAAGTTATCACCAAGAAAAGAAAATAAAGAAGAAAAGAAAGAATTAAAAATTGAAAAAGAGAAGAAAGTAAAAGACATTAAAAATAAGAAGGAAGTAATTGATAAAGGAATGTATAAAGAAGAAGGATATAAAAATGATATTTGGAAAAGAAAAACTATTTGTACGATGGAAAGAAGAGAAAAAGAAAAAAGAAGAAGTAGTGAAATAAGTATTAAAAAAGAAAAGAAGAATATTGAGGTTACTGTTGAAATTGGATTTTTATTACAAACATATAATAAAACACTTAAAGTACCATCTCAAATGAAGGTTAGAGAAGTTATTGAAAAAACTATGATAAGTATTAAAGAAGGATTACATGATGATGTTATTGTATATCAAAGTAATGGAGAGGTTGTAAATCAAGAAGAGAATATTGGGACAGTAGCAATAAATAATAAAGCATACATATATGTATCAAAA